CCCCCCCCAAAAAAAATACAAAAAAACAAACAAACCATACTCTAGATCTAGTTGTATACGCTTTACGCTCTTATCGTCACAATTTATATGATTTATAGAATTTTCAGCCTAGCTGCTTTGACCTTGCATGTCAGGGCCAAATGGGGTTGAGAGGGATACAACGTTTTATCAGACAGATCTAGAAGATAATACTATGAAAATCTTAACCACACGGGATTTGAATTCAGGTCTTCTACTTCTGCCTGCGACAGCGAGCCCGACCGCTACATAATTGAGGCCGATCGTTTGTTTTCGTTGGTGTACGAACCCAGATCTTCAACATCCTAGTACATGTATGATTGTGTTTACGGTAAACCCACGCCCGTACGAAATGCTAATCCTGCACGTTCAATTCGGATAGCGTGTTATCCACGGAAGAATGGTGTGTGATATTTTTTAGTGCCTTCCTTTGTTGCCAATGGTTCATTGCCCCATCTGTTATTAATAAACCACCGAACCTGCCAGAGAATGGAACACAGGCGGAATTACAACACACATGTATTTATAGTTTATAGCCTTAAAAAATTATCGATAGCACGAGAAATATTATTCAGGTATCGGTTTTTTAAGGCTGTGAATTCAAATGCTTTGTGTAACATGTCATTATTATATACGCCTACATCGACACAGTTTATATCATTTAGGAGGCGGGTTGATCTGACCCTTCCTGCCAGGGCCAACCGGGGCTGAGAGAGATGCAACATCCCAACAAACAGAAAAATATACTCCATTTAAAAAACAAACAAACAAACAAAAAAACAAACCCAAAAGAACCCCCCCCCCCACCCTCCCCGAAAAAAGACACCTCTCACGGGAATCGAAGTCATGTCTTCAGTCTGCGGTGGCGAAGAGCCCAGCCGCTAAATCCCAGACGCCGGTCCGTTATTATGATACTCAGTAATAATAAATAATAAACAATGTGTAACTGAATAGTGATGGAGCCCAGAGAAATGCGAACCCCCACGAGCCTGTCGCGTGATGCTTCATGGTAGGTGCATGGCACACCACTCCCGACTGGTGTCATAAAATCCTCAACAATAAAAAAAAATAAAAATTCATGTTTAAACTTTAGATCTAGATCCAAACGTTATCCTCTTCTACAATGACTCATGCGCACAGACCATTTTACGCGAGGTAGACAAAATATTTATTCCATTCTTGTTTTCAATTTCAAAGAGGGTTTTATGAAGTGACATTGTGGGATGTGTTTTTTGGTTAACAAGATTTACTATTTCAACGGTATCAACATAAGTTATGTCTAAATATAACTTGCCGATTTGTAAAATGATATTTAAATATGATTATACATTTTTAGGCTTTGGAGATTGTTGTGCAAAAAATAAAAAAAGGGAGAAAAAGGGGGGTCACCGTACTTGGTAAAATTTAAAAAAAAAAAAAAATCAAGATTAATATTCTCGTAACAATTTTTGTTTATCTTCTTTAAAACAGAGGTTCATGCTTCCCACGTTTATGTTCAGCGTACGCAACCTCTGTCTCTCTCCATTAAAATTTTTTTTTTTTAATTATGGTGGGAAATCGATTTTTTAGGCTAATGAATATATGTTTTGCTGTTTTATTTCTGTAAATTAATGATTTCTTTTCAAAGTTTCAAAGCGATGTATGTTGAATTATAACACATGTACGAGTAACTTGTTTTAAAGCCACCAGGTGTAAAGAATAAAAATTTAAACTATTTTTCTCACTTTTGCCATATTTTTAAATAAAAAATCGATGTGTCAACTCTTTTCATCACAACTGGGTTTACGTTTGAAGAGCAAGGGAGCGTGAAGTTTGAACACTATCTCATGCGGGCGTATGTGTGTGTGTGTGTATCTGTGTGTGTGTGTGTGTGTGTATGTGTGTGTGTGTGTGTGTGTG